TATCAAGTTTGATGAGTTAATGGAAATCATGACGACAATTTCGGAGATGGATTCGTTGATGGCAACAGCGTGGGCATCCAAAAAACTCTCGGTTATAGCGACCGGTAGCTCGAGCCCTTGCTTAGATCTGAGGAGGATCAATGATGACCTTGCTGAAGCATGTAAAGATGTTGACTTTGTTTTACTAGAGGTTTGCTTTTTTTTTTTTTTTTTAGGTAAAAATTAAAGAATTCTCGTTTCTTTGACTTTGATTGATCGAAAGAATTGGTCATTCTTCCTAGGGTATGGGTAGAGCGATCCATACAAATTATAATGCAAGGTTTTCGTGTGAATCCCTTAAAATTGCAGTATTTAAGAGTGCTGATACTGCCATGGAGTTTGGAGCTCTCATGTATGACGCAATGATATTATATGAAGAGGGACAATGAACGTTTGCCTTGTTATAAAATGACTGTTGACAAATTTACTTCTCGTTGTTTAAAAAAGTATCATTCATTTTATTTCCTAATACATCACCTTTGTTATTACAGCAATGTTCTTTTTCTATGTTGACTTTTAATAAAATATATTCAAGAATTACAAATTAAGTGATCATACCAGGTTATCGGGATTGTAATAACGTTAGGTAAAAAAACTTGGAAAAAAAAATTCGTACACCGTGCGCAATTAAAAATTCGAACATCGATCTCTCAACAGTACATAACATCTAAATCGAATCTTCAACTAGTTCTTCGTATATTATAATCATGAACATCACCAGGAAATACCTACACTCGTCGTTTTTGTCGCCTCGATTGTTGAAGGAACAAATTAAATAAAGAATTACCACTAGATCATGCATTTATTATGAATAAATACTCGAAGGAATCACTAGAGTATAATTTGATCCAGTCCTATTAAATCACCGCTTTGTTCAGGTCTTTGAATGTTGTAACAATATAATTCGCCACTAGTGTATGCCAGATAGAGACGGCAAGAACAAGACTGTGGAGCCAATCCTTTAGTGAAATTCTTCACAACAAACATTCCTGTGGTCACGAGAGGACAATAAAAATATCAATTATAAGTTTATCTAGAACATGTTGTACGTTGCCTTCGGTAACATTATTACCTAATAGGGGAGCGTTCGGTAAGGGGTCCGAAGGCAAATAATCTCTTTCAAGAGAAAGGGAATAGTTTTCTTGACCTGCTAAGTTGCACTTTCTACAAAAATACAAATTGAAAGAAAGATCGTATCACTCGCAGACATAAGAATCGAAGGTCATTTTACTTACTTGAGTATTCTAACCAAAGCAACCTTGCCCTTCTGGCTAGCAACTACTGCAAGCGAAAGTTCGGGTATATACTATCAAATCAAATTTAATTAATAATCACCTCATCAAGAATCGGTTTCAATTATATTCACCTCAACCATATTTAAACGGTCATGGCCGGTTAACACAGAACCACGCCTCGGGTCTCTAATAATACCCCGTTTATAATCGAGAGTGCGCAATCCGGACTTTGGATCAAGGAGGTACAGATCATGTTGCGTGCTGAAAAGAATGAGTTCCTCCGCGTGAGGTTTGCCTTGTCGACGACATTTTGACTCACGAAAATTCGTATTGAACCCGGGATTCGGAGGAATTCTAGGGGAATGATCAATGGTACGACGAACTACCTCATCTCTCAAAACCTCGGATATTCGAAAATTTGAAATCCGCCTGGTTATCGTTGGAGGAATGTAGACACGCTGTCGCCGTTCGGATAATTGAGGTGCGCGAGGCGACTGGATCTCTGCCAGAGAAAGAGGCGAATATGCTGGACTATTGACGACGTGATTCGGACTACTTTGCGAATGCGATGACGATCGTTCTCGGGAAGCCGATGATTCGTGGTTTGGTGAAGTTGGTGCGTCATTGTATTGGGATATCGTTGTGTACCCTGATTCACTTCTATCATCAATGATTGAGTTTTCCGGTGCTTCCATATGTATTGGTGAATTGACCGAATGCAAAGGGGTAGCTGACGAAAAGCTGCCATTATGGTTCGAATCTGATGTCATGACATTAGTCGAAAATGCGTCATTGCGATTTTGCGCCTCATCATTACTTGGAACGTGTGAATCATTATTATTCGTATTTGTTGGACCAGAGTTTGGTGAATTTCGAAAAATATTGAAATCAGCTGGAGATTGCGAAGGGGGTAATCGTGAGCTTGGATGCAATAACGGAGAAAGTTGCAGAAGAGTCGGCGTGTATTGAGAGGAGGATCGCGATTGTGATATATGAGAATGCTCCCGAGAAAACTGATTTGTAGAATAAGGCTGTGAATTTTGAGAATTTTCCCGAGAATAGTTAGAATAGGTGGAATGTAATGTTGGCAGAGGTTGTGAAAGAGTGGTGTTTGTTGATGATTGAACTACAGAATTATAAGGAGATGCTGGAGAATATGGTGGCGAATTACTAGACCATGTTAACAACGGAAAAGACGGATTAAAAGAACTATGTTCAACATGACGATGAACGTCTGGTGCATTCGGCCTGGATATTGGCGAAGAAGCAACTTCATTTCGTTCGTTTCCGTTGCCATCATTGTTAACTATATGATGGAGCTCAGAAGCTGACCCCCATCCTTCATCAGATATAATCTCTGGCATAGGAATATTCGAATCGTTTCCATTTTCATCATCTAAATCTATGATGGACTCAATTCCATTCTCTGAATCACTTTCCTGGTCACCATCTTGATCACTTTCGTGGTCACTACTATAGATAGCATTATCATCACCCGTTGTATCAAGGTACCCATCCTCAAATTCTGTCTCCAAATGATCGAATCTGACGTTTAAAACATCGCGCGCCGATACAGTTGTAGCATCCACATTGCCTACGTTAGAAGCATTACCATCATTATTATCCTCAGAACCTTGACGTGTTCTTTCAAGTGGTTGATTAGAACGGTTTGGATCCGTTTTGTTGGACATGTACAAAGGGCGAACCCATGCCGAAACACTTTCTGGTGCAGATTTAATGCTGGAAGTCGATACAAAACACGCAGACCAACCCCTGTTACCAATTTTAAAAAACGAATGAATAGAAAATTACACGGTATATGGTAATCAGATAAGAGATCAGGGTACCTACCATAGACGAGACACGTCCCGGGAAACAATTATCTCGCCAGTTTGAACATTCCAAATTCGACAAGAGCAATCGATACTACATGAAACTAAAAAATTTCCACACGGGCTAAACGATATGCTAGGAATATTGTGTGAATGTCCAACCAATGAATACTGTGGTACATCGCCCATTTCAACAACGTCGGAAAATCTCCGTAAGATTGTAGATTTTGAAGATCTCAAAGATCCTTTATGGTTATTCACACATTCGGATTGATTCACATGGGCTTTTAAATTATAAATCGTAATGTTATACGAATTAGCACTCACAGCTAACAATCTCTTTTGGCCTTGTAACGCTATGCCCCACGTGGATTCATCATTACTAAATCAAATTGACATAATTACGTTAGATTCCAAGAGGCGTAAATATATATATTATAGTCGTACCTAAGGAAAATTGGTCTTCGATTAAGGTCAGCCGTGTACCACAGACATATCCCTCCAGAATCGTCAACACACACTAGCATTTCCTCCTGTCCCAACATTCCAACTTTGATGGCATTGATTGTTTGGTTCTAAAATAGATTGATAAATAAATAATAGGCGAATACAAACGGAGTATTGCATCAAATCAGCTAATTACCTCCGAATCGTTCCAATTTCGTCGAAGTTTTCTGATCGGTTCTTTTGGTTCTCTCGTTGACTTATTTTCCTCGAATTCTTCGAATTGACTTAACGAATACACGAAAATAACATCATCGACCGCCACAAATAATGTTTCCCTATCCCTCGTGGACACTGCCGCCAAATTCATCTTCTAAACATGGAGATAGTTTAGCAGGTGGTCACGTGATTGATTAGGTGAGGAAAAAAAAAAAAAAAGGATTGAATCCATTACCCAATGACAAAATCCTTGTGTACAGAAATTCTCTCTTTTGTAAACGGACTTTACCTATTGGAATTTAAAATAATAAAGGTCAGCCTAAAAGCAAAATTAATAAATAACGAAAATAAAATAAGAAGTATATTTACCACTAGTTCATTATAGGCTCTCATGATTTTTTTTTTTTTATTGCTGTAATTTTAAATTATCCTATATAATAAAAATATGTGGTCACGAGGCTCCATGTGAAAATCCAAATCTATCACCCGTGTAACCTATGACTACCTATGACAGACTGGGTCAACTCTAATTCTACAATTTACATAAGTACTTAAGGAATTATCTATATCATTTGTGCAAATTTCTTTTAATTAATGGAATAACAAACCGTTGTTGAATAAATAAGAAGATAATAGAAATTTCTTCATTTATGACATTTCCTTTGACGAATTTAACTAACACTTTGGAGAATTTTTATAAATTAAACATGATAATATTATTAATATCCGGTATGGTCATCAAAGCGCTGTTTTCTCCTCTGATCAGAGTGATATCTTCTATAGTTCAGATGTAACTATTCCAGCTAACAATAAAATTAAGCCTACCTTCGATTTAACGGATTACAAAAATGAAATTCGCGGTGCTCCCACGGTACAGATCTAAACGAAGAAACTCGATTAGCTCAATTCAAAATTTAGATATCAAAGAAGAGATTTTCTACAAGGAACGGCGCCATATATTGTACATATACAAAAAAACCAAAAAAACCAATGCACTACCTTTAACGGTAAGCTCTGGTCGTTTATGCCGAAAAAGAACGGCTTTCAGAGAAAAAGTTGAACTACATCGCTTTTATATTCACTTGGTCATCCGACCAATGAGATGCTACTGATCTGATTCTTTATTACATATTTAATAGTGGCGCAGTATCAATTAAGTTAATTATTATATTAATATAATTTATACAATAGTTCAACCTCCGAATAATCGATCATATCAATGAAACCTTTGTTCGAACGAGGCCACCTCTGAAATTTTTTATGGGTTGTGGTGCCATTTGCAACCTTCTGAACGCTTCGTGAATGTGCGAAGATTTTAAGGCTGTTTGTTCAGGAGGTGGCGGGGAAAACAAATAGACATTATCACTGTAATTTTTGGAATTTTCGCGTGGGCGTTTGAGACCCTTGTGTACTCTTTGTTCTTTGTCGAGATCTAGCTTGACGCGAAGCGCCGTCTCTGTGAGCTTGCTGACCATCTCAAACGTGAGAAATCCTAAGATGTCAATAATATCATCATTGGGTTTCATGTCAATGTAGGCTGACATATTTGCCCATTCTCGAAAGCGTTTGGCTTTCCTATATGTAAATGAAGCTTGACGGCATTCAGAATAATGAACATATTCTTCTCTTGTCATGGCTCTTGTGATCTCGTCGGCATCCTAGTAAAAAAAAAAAAATCCGATGACAAATTAATACAGAAAAGAAAAAAAAAAGGTAATCGCGTACAACACAACCTACAATATACCTACCTTTAACCTTTGAATCGAATCATTATAGGCTTCTAACTCTTCTTCATCGTCCTCATCCGAGTCCGCATTTAAAAATTCCGAAAATGAGTTTACCAATTCCCATGATAATTTGACCTTCATCTTACGTGCCTTCGCTGTAATGATACATTATGTAAATTGGTGAATTCGAGAAGTGTATATTATGTACTCCGAAAGCTAAAGAATTTGATGAGTGCCTGCATTCGGTTCTTCCATTATTTCTTCGGTAGCATCGTTGCCATTAGTGTCTTTAGCATTTTTACGCACGTCTTTCCAACTCAAATATGTACGTAGACGATTCACTTTCGCGCGATCATGTCGAATTAAAAAAATCAAATCTTCCGCACTCATATAACGTGATCCACGCTTAGCGGCCTGGGCTGCCGCCTGTATGATCTGTTGAAAGAGATAATGGATTTCGAATATGAACCTTGTAGTGTTCAAATTACAACTAACAATGAAAGGAAAATTCAGAAACTCACAATTTCAATGACCTGAGACCTCACAATATCCTCTACAAGCATGATGGTTTCTGGGCATGGTTCCGAAACTTCACCGAAAACAAACATCATTTGTTGAATTTCTGAGGAATAACGATATTTTGATTTATCTTTATCCTGCCATGTTAGAAGAAGCCGTAAGAAAATTTTGTTGAACTTTGTGTTTGCAAAATTATTCTTTGCGCCCGAAACGAGTAAGGAAATACCGAAAGAGCCTTAGGATCTTTAAGATCTTTGACCTTATCTGCCGCAGTCACTTTTTGATTTTGATTCATGTCGACGTAAAAGAAGTAAATCCCAGGATTTCTTAATGTCACACAGAGGATGAGAATAAATCCACATCTGTTGCTTGTTACTCAAACCACCTTTTCGGAATAAGTCACATAAGTGGTGATATATCGAACTTGTGGCTAGCTTTTCTTTCGTGCTGAGGATGAGAATACCAAGGACGTCGTTCGTTGGTAATTCGTTCATAAGTCTCCTAAAATGAGATGAGATGATATTTTAAAATAGAGGAAATCTCAACATATTACCTTAAGATAAAGTAAACGCACAATGCGAGGTATATGACGTTGAGCCCTTAGGTTGATTGGTTTTGTCGTCAGGTCCGAATGTGTGTGTCTAAAAATAATTTTCGCGTGGTTCTACAAGGAAGGCTTTCACAAGTCACAATTCACGAATTCAGATATTAAAAAAAATAAATTACACTAATATGATGCATTAATTTATGCATTTGACATCAATATCCAACCATATCGAACAACTTTTTTTTGCCAGCATTAGAAGTGGCACTACTCAGCAAATCTTTTAATCACCATCCATTGATTATATGATTCGGTCTCTTGTAATACAAACCATTAATTAATTCGTTTCAGAAAAATAATTGCATCTAGTATTCTTTTTTCCAAAAAATGAAATTACGCATTTACTATTTTGTATCACCCAAAGTTCAGATATATATCTTGAACCCATTTCACAAACAAAAGGTTGTCATTCGTTTTTTCTTTTTCTTTTTCGCTGTTGTTTTCTCTCACTGTCATTCCTTAAACCCCTTAAGAATCCTCACCTGACCTCAAATACCTTTACTTTCCAACACTCCTTAAGAAGTCGAACGCGTACAATAGTGATTGATTATTTGCATGATGTCAAAAAGCAATCTTGCGATTTTCCTCATAATTGCACTTATCATCACGATATTAAATGCCTCGCCCGTTCCACATGATTTGAGCCTACGAAAACGACAAGATTTGGGGTGGGTTTTATTTTTAATGATCTTGACGAATATCGTTCAATGGAAAATGTGAATTAATTGGTTTCTTTATAGCACCGTTGAAATTGAAATTGCCGCAATATCATCAACCGCGCAAATTCAAAAGTATATAAATTATTTATTCTGACTCCGTTTCCCTTCTGAATTTCTAAATTTTAATCATGTACTTTATTTTAGTCCCGCCCCGACAAATGTGCCAAATGGTGGTCGTACGTAAGTATCATAAATATACTTGGCAAGTGCGCGATCGATGCTTGTTATTCTTATTTTTTTTAATAATTACCAGAGATATTCTGATTGGCATAAATTCTAAATAATAAAATAACATGTAATTTGTCTATTGACTTTCAACTTGTATAGTTCGGACAAAGGCTCATCTCCGACACCAACCGCCCAACAACCACCTGTAACTTCATCCAAAGACTCTCCCGATTCTACCAACTCTCCCTCTGACAATCAGCCATCTGACAATCAACCCTCTGACAACCCTGACAACTCTAACAATCAACCCACCAGTTCTAACCACCAAAGCAGTAAAAAAGCCGCCACCAAAAATCAACCCGCTGACAACGCTGCCACTAATGATAACCAACCTACCGACAGTTCTCCAGACAATTCACCAACTCCTACCACGACTAATAATCCTAAAGCTAAATCAATAACCAGTGTTATTCCGGGTAGCACCAAAAGAATTACCACTACAGATGCTAACGGCCATCAAACTGTGTTAGAAACCGTGGTGCCTCCCAGCACCGTCGTGGTCGTCGCAGTCACAGGTCAATCAAATAGTACTAGTTCGGATGACGATAATGGGGCTTCGTCAAACGGTGTAGCCATCGGCATAACTT